GGAAAGAGTCACAGGTGCTGGAGAGAGAATGATAAGGCAGAGATGGGATTGATGTATATATGCTAGTCATCCAAAACTAAGTTGGATCTGGCCTATAACCATGACAGGTTTAAAGCACTTTCAGATAAGTCAATTTACCATGGGATGTGGTGGAATAAACGCATGTACATAATTAGTATCTGTGCTTCAATGGACAGGCAATAAGTTGAGAATAATAGTGCAGTAATACTAGCAACCCTCTTTTAGTTTAGCTTGGTTTGCTTGTTAAGGCTGTTGCTGTCATTCTGTCAAAAATGCTCCTTTGCTAGTATAACTTTTTGTGTATGGAGTATTCATAAAATATTCCTAGTACATATATTCTTTAAGTCCTTTACGATCTTTAAATTCTGTAACATCTTGTGACTTTAGCACCTGAGCTACTAGGTTAGTTACTGTTCGGAAGGAAGGAAAGAGTAGGAGGTTCAACTTTCATCTTCGCAGGAGTACAAAGGAACTGATTTTTCTTTTGAATAATAGCATCATTCTCTGAAAATGTTTAGTCATGTAGGCAAATAACTCAATTTCCAAATGCACACTTTGAAGCTAAATTTTATGTTTTAAAATTCATTCCTTTTCTGCAGTTTTTCAAGTTATGAATGAATACAGCTATTAAAAAAAAAAAGTAGCTTTGGACTTTTTTTGAATTATGTCAAGGTGCTTGTTCATTTTTAACTTGCGCATTTTCTTTCTAAGTTTTTAAAGAGCAACTACTCTATATTATACTTCTCCTCCCCACACATGCACTTTCCTTTGTCATGTGCTAGGATGCACTTTTCTTGATGTCACACTAAACATTCAAAAGCACTGACCCATGAAAGAAGGTGAGGCTGTATTTCCCATGAGAAGATAGTTTTCAAAACTTCTCTTTTCTGTAACATTAACATAAATATACAGATATGGAAGTAGACTAACCTGATCTTTGGTTGGAGATTGGGATGGGTTGATCCCTCTACTTCCTAAGCAGCTGCATTGCTGGTAAGTGGTTGATATGATATCACAAGCTTAGTTAATACAAAGGTTGTAAAATGGAAGGAAGCCATGTGGGCAGGATGTTCCTCAGTTTATAAATTATTATAATCTGAAATAAGCTTTTGCTTTATGCATGCAGAGTTACTAATTCAAGGCTTGCATGCACTTGGAACTCACTGTATTGTTGTAATCCTTGTTTGTTACTGTTTTTTCTCTTTCTAGTTGTTTGCCACCTTTGTTCACATGTCACTGTTAATGTGAAAGTTTGTTGGATGAGAAACTATTTGTTGATGTGAAAGTTTGTTGGATGATTGAGCACCTAAGCTTTCCTATAGTGCACTGAGATTCTCCACATTAAATATTCAAGGCTGTTTTTTTTTTTTTAAATTAATCCATAAGCCTTGATACTTTTTTCATCATCTTAAAACCTTCCGGATGTGACTAGCATATCTAGCTTAATGTGAAAGAGTTCATGGTTCACAGATTTTAAGGCAAAGAAAAAAGTATCACTCTGACATAATTGTAAAATATTAAATTATATGTTCATATTTTTAAGTAACTTGTGCAAAAACTATCGCTTAGTGATTGCATGTTGTTTGTAGTAACACTTAATTTATTAAGTTCCAAACTTTTGGATCTTTAATTTTGTACAAAATGATCTGTAAGAAGCTATGTAATTATACTAAAATGAGTGACCCATTTTGTTGGACTCGTCATTCAAAGTAATTAAGATTTTATTGGAGGATATAATAGGCTAATTTTTTTTTTACGTGTTCATTTTGACAACTTTAACACATAGCTTCAGCATTTCTAGAAAGTCTAGTTTGGAAAAACATAAACTTCTAAAACAAAATACTACATGCTGGCGCAGAATTCGGCATGTCTGCTGCCAGCTCCAGGGTGTGGAGTAAACATGCAGTTGAGATACGTATGAGTATCACTTCATATGTTTTGTTAGACCCATGGCTTGCGTGAGCAGGGGTGGCGTTTTTCTCCTTTTACCTTAGCAGTCTGGAGCAAAGTCTGCATATGTCTCAGGAGTGTGAAACCTGGAATGGTTTGGATTGGAAGAGTCTTTTGAAGATCATCTAGTCCAACCTAAAGAATAACGCACAACCCCTGTGTTGTGGTTTAACCTGGCAGGCAGCTAAACACCATACAGCTGTTTGCTCACACCCCCCCCACAGTGGGATGGGGGAGAGAATCGGGAGGGGGAAAAAAAAGTAAAATTCATGGGTTGAGGTAAAGACAGTTTAGTAGGACAGAAAAGGAAGGGAAAGTAATAATAATAATAATAATAATAATAATAATAATAATGATAAAAGCATATACAAAACAAGTGATGCACAATGCAATTGCTCACCACCCTCTGACTGATGCCCAGCCCATCCCCGAGCAGTGATCACTGCCCCCTGGCCAACTCCCCCAGTTTATATGCTGAGCATGACGCCATACGGTACGGCATAGCCCTTTGGCCAGTCGGGGTCAGCTGTCCTGGCTGTGCCCCCTCCCAGCTTCTTGTGCACCTGGCAGAGCGTGGGAAGCTGAAAAGTCCTTGACTAGTGTAAACTCTAGTCAGGAAGAACCAAACCATCAGTGTGTTATCAACGTGATTCTCATCCTAAATCCAAAACACAGCACTATGCCAGCTACTAGGAAGAGAATTAACTCTATCCCAGCCAAACCCAGGACGCTCTGTTTTACCAAACCAGTGCTTTAACCCATGAGCTATAAAACACATGGTTTTTACTTATGAATTATATAGTCAATTTCATGATCAGTGCATAAGGATGATTGAGATGGCATATAAATGGCTTCCAAGTGTAATACTAAATAGAAAATCTATGGGTGAGAGGACTGTAAGTGCGTCGATTCTGTGAAGTAGGCTAAATGACAGTTTTACCTAATCAGAGAAAGATGTTTTGCTTTCTTCCACACTAGACATGCACCTGATTAGGTTATGGGCAAATAAATACCCTGACTTGGATGGG